AGAGACAGACAAATGCATACACACTCACACAGAGAAGTTAAGAGACTGGGAGAAACTTCAACTCCCACCATTGTAGAACAAAAAAGTAAATTGAGCCAGGCATGCCCTTAATCCCAGCACTCAGATGACAGAGGCAGACTGATCTCTAAATGCGAAGCTAGCCTGGTCTACATATTGAGTGTAGGTCAACCAGGGCTAGATAGTAAGATCCTGTCTAAATAAATAAATAGACTAAATTGTTGGACTAGAGGGAAAGCTCAGTAAGGTGTTTTGGTTTTTGTTTGGGGTTTTTGTTTGTTTTTTACATAGAGTACTGGGATTAAGAGCAGAAACCATCACTTTGAGCAGCTCAGTGGTTAAAAGCGCATCCTGTTCTTCCAGATGACCTGAGTTTGGTTCCCAGCACCCACACCAGGCTGACAAACACCTCTAACTCAACCTCCCCTTCCTCGTCGGGCCTCAGCAGGCACCTGAACTGAACAACTAACACACGCACACTTAAAATCTTTCTTTTAAAAATTAAATCACCAGGGCTGGTGAGATGGCTCAGTGGTTAAGAGCACTGACTGCTCCTCCTGTGGACCCTGGTTCAATTCCCAGCACCCACATGGCAGCTTACAGCTGTCTGTAGCTCCAGTTCCAGAGAATCTGACATCATTATACCAATGCGCATGAAATAAAGTTAAATAAAGTTTAAAAAAAAAGATTAAATCACCAGGCAGTGGTGGCGCACACCTTTAATTCTAGCACTCAGGAAACAAAAGCAGGAGGATCTCAGTAAATTCAAGGCCAGCCTGATCAACAAAACAAGTTCCAGGACAGCCAAGACTATTACACAGAGAAAAACCAAAACTAAATAAATAAAATCTCAATTTTAAGGTTTTCTTTTTTGGCACACACCCCCGCCGGCGCCCCATCCCATACCCCCAACCCTCTCCACCCTGTACCCCACCCTCTCCATCCCACCTCCTACTCTCCACTCCCCTCCCTCCCCCACACACTATGATTTGTTGTTTTTTGAGACAGTTTCTTTATGTAACAGTCCTGACTGTCCTGGAACTTGTTTTGTAGTGTAGACCAGGCTGGCCTCCTACACACTGAGACCCACCTGCCTCTGCCTCCCGAGTGCGCTGATTATGCTCGGCCCACACACTGCCATTTTAATGACCAGAACAACTCGGGACAGACATTTCAAAGGAATGCGTATGCTTGGAGAGCAAAGATTTAGAACAGTGAGGAGCATCAGAGAAGCAGGCCTGGGAGCTGAAGGAGCCCAGGCAGAGGGAAGGCCACTCACTTTCTCAAACACGATGGTAGAAACGTGGGGGCGGAGCCGGGCGGTGGTGGCGCACGCCTTTAATCCCAGCACTCGGGAGGCAGAGGCAGGCGGATCTCTGTGAGTTCGAGACCAGCCTGGTCTACAGAGCTAGTTCCAGGACAGGCTCCAAAGCCACAGAGAAACCCTGTCTCGAAAAACCAAAAAAAAAAAAAGAAACGTGGGGGCGGTAGGGAATGTAAACAGCATCAGGGAAAAGATGAGGGTGTTTTCTGAGGTGCCTCACTGCTTATCCTAGGCTGGCCTTGAGTTGTGACCCTCCTGCTAGCGACGAATTCTAGAAATGAATGGCCACACCTGGTTGGTGTTTACACACACACACACACACACACACACACACACAGA